AATATGTATAGGAAAAGGAGACATTAAATTTCCCAATTCCAAAGTTATCTTCCATAAGAGGCACATTCACTAAGCATTTTCTCCACTGAGCCATTGCAAGTCAGATCTGCTCCTTACACATATGAGGAGGTACAGAACCGATTGGATAACTCATTCTTGAAGTTCCTGCAAAATTCAAGGAACTGGCCCCCTGAAAAAAACTCAGAGGTTGAAGGTGTATACCCTGAACTTCCCATTAAACTTTAGAAGCACAGATATAAACCAAACCAAGTAATATTGGCAGAGAGAAGTGCAGCAACAAACCTCAGCAAAGTTTCCAGTCTTGTACTTTCTCTCATGTCTATTGCAGTGTCTCCATCTAGGAGCAGATCTTCATGCCTGGTCACTCTGCCTGCACCTGTAAAACTGTTCAGGTAATACTCTTTGGAACTCAAGCCAACTAGCACAGCAGTGCTCATATGCATATGGCTGTTCTCTCTTGTTCCCAAAACAAGGCAGTACCTTCCAAACGCTACTGGCCTGTGCTAAAACTGAACTGTGCCCAGACACATCTGCAAGAATGACACCTAGCTCCCCCTAAAACTGAGTTTGGAACCATGCTAACGAATTATCTGCAGAGCCTCCTGTATGGCAACATTTACGTTAATTAAGGGCCTTACTAATACGGTTGTTGCTATTACCATAATACTGTGTTCCACCCCAGTGCAGAGCTGAGGATGTAACCATATTTTGTGAAGAACTAAATGAGCCTCACAGTACCCATTCAGGGAAGGATGTGGGTTTTACACAATTTACAAACTAGGAGACTGTGAGATCAAAGGCTGTACAATATACTTCTATTCAAGTATATGGTAGTAAAGAGCCAAAGATAAGGGATGGGATTCCTGATTCTTATTGCTCACATTTAGCTGCTGGACCACTATCTGTGATGCTAAATTATTCATAATTTCTCACAGGGAAGGCAGGCATGCACTCAAAAGAAAAGCTGTGCGCAAGAAAAAGAGTTATCTAAGTAGTCACACACTCTTTCAAAAGAGTTAGCTAACTGACAAAAATATGCTGCTGTAACACATTTTCATGTGTAGGCAGCAATTCTTCTCCACATCCTAGGGCTGGAATCCTGTGTGGGGAAAACTGAACTGCTCGGTGTGTGTAAAAGACAGGCCTCATTAACTCTTGGACATCTTCTCATTTCTTGGTCATAAATCCTATTACCTTGTATTACAAACTGCCATAAAACTCACAGATAAAAGATAATTTATGCTCAGTGTACAGAAGCTAATGTTTCTGTACTCCTGAGAAGCACAAAACCAGAAAATGAGAAAGTATGTATGTGAAACCTTAACCCATTCGTATTGAGCATGGCTAGCATGATAAACACGACTCTAAGGGCCTAATGCTTTTCAGCTAGGGTATAGTCTAATAGTAATTGATATTACCAAAATTTCAAGCATAAAATGCATGAACTGTTGTATAAAATATCCTGCTTATAAAGAGGGATTACTCATTAAAAATTCAGGCTTTCCTTCCTCTCCCACTACAGAAAGAAATATGACCTCTGTTCAGTACACAGGTACATTTTTTAATTTTTTTCTTTTTTTAATTCCAACCATCACATTAGAAAATGCTTCAGAACAAGCATCACCTCCTGGAATTCTTACAAAGTCTCCCTATTTCTGACTCCTATCCTAATTAGTGTTCCATGGCACACAAAAAGTAACAACCCTTGGAGTTGGCAAAATCAAAAGCAACTTAATCTTCTATTTGCTTTTTCTCTGAAGCAATTTAAAGTCTTCAGGCTTTGGCACTGATTTTAACTGTGCTGGTTATCTGCTCAAAGGAATATTTTGCTTTAGTGAAGACTGAGCAAAAGTGCTCATTTAGGCTGCCTGTTATTAGTTTTCCTTTCCCATTCAGACAAGAGAAAATCTTTCACTGTCAACTTATAACTTCTGGAGCTACAAATTAGGTTCTCATTTCTTGGGCCCTTCCAGAGGGGCACCTCATTTCATGCCTGCTTTTTTTTTTTTTAAAATACTTGCTTAGTAATTTGACATATATTGGAATTCATTTATCTAACTTAGATATGTACAGCGTATATAGTTAGATCTCAGCCTCCCACCCATTTCTCCATAGAGACCATGGAGACAGATATTTATGGGGTGTAATTATTCCCACCTTTTTTTCTATTTTCTTTAGAGGAGCTCATCCTTAAAGGTCAGAAATGAACATTAGAGAGTTTACTTCCTTGTAGTTTTCTTCACTTTCCATGCCAAAACATTTTTATCTATATATTTCAGAAGCTTGCACTGTCTGTCCATCTATTTCCCAAGAAATGCCTCAATACTCAAAGTGCCCATTACTCTGACATTCAGTACTTGGATAATTTTATTGGCTGATGAAAAAAGGCTTTGTTTACCTGGTCCCCCTTGCTTGGTCATCTGCAGTGGATCCCAAATCAGATATTGTCCTTGCTGTCTTCCTCTTATCACCCTGAAGACTTTCAACAAGTCTATAATCATGTTTCCTACAGCATGTGGACCCTTTACAAGTGTGTTAAATACTAATATATTTCTTCTGCTGTAACCCTATATATCAACACTGTAATAATGTGAAATCACTCTCTTTCAAAGCAATTACTTAATAGATTTTATGGTGTACTTACATATGTACTCACACCATCCTCCTCTTGGTTTCTGCATTAGTAATTAAAAATTCAGCAGCTTGACTTGTTACTCCCCTTTGTATCCTTTTGTTATGGGATTACCAGTTTATCTGCTGTATCCAAATATTTTAGACTCTGCCTAGGTACACATGATAGAGAACCACACTCCTGATATAGTGAACAAAGGGCTATATGTTATTTTGAAGCAAAAACATAATTATATTTTGCTCATATATATTATCCAAAGAATCCAATAAAGATCAGATTCTTCTTCCCCAAGAGAGAAAGGTTTCAGATCTACATTTTATAGAAAAAGAAACATGCTCTTAACTTTATAATTTGCATTAGCATTTGAATCTCAAAACGTTGCTTCATTTGTTGCAGTTTCCAGACTTGCATTTTGAAAAGTCAGTGGTCTCCCACTGTGTTAAACTCCCTCCTACTTTGATTTTAAATTACAAAGGGGAGAGGGGGAAAAAGAGAGAATGTCATGATTGTAGCTGTTTGTGAGAGAAAAATACCAGGCTGAACTCCATACAAAAAAAAAAAACCTAAAAAAAAAAGGCACTTCCAAGCTTAGGATCCTTGGTTTTTTCTGTGTATAAACTACTCACTTGATTTTTATCTAAACTAGGTAGGATTAATGTTATTATCTGGAGGTACCACGACAGTTGACTGAAGACACTGACAGTGACAGGTTTGAACAACAATCAAAAGCAAGTTTGTGTCAAACTTAGCACAGAGATTGTTTAAATGGCCTGCCCCCATATCTGCCCTTTCTTTATTTCTGTACACTAGAAACAGCCTGAAGTTACAGAAGTCAGTTACTGGCAATACAAACTGACAGCCAGGTATGGCAGAAAAAAAATAATATCCTGTAGAACTCTCCCCATCTACAAAAGATATTACGTGCTTCTTGTATGGCATTATTAAAAACAGAACAAAGAAGTTTTCAGCAAACACAAACAATTAACAACCTCCCATTTCTATTTAAAATGCACAGATAGTGATTTTTTTCAAGTTATAAAGGGTTTAATTATTCATGGAAGATTCTCGTGAAAGCAACCTTAGTCATGGCATTTTAAAGCTACTTATGGAAAAGACAAATGAAAATAATTAAAAGTCTTTCCAGTCTAAGCAAGAGCTTTGTAAGCTAAACTAGGAATTCTCCATCTTATCTCATCTTCAACATGTTCTTAAAAATATCCTAAAATAAATTTACAGTGGTCAGTGAAGTACTGTAATCACAGATCAATCACAAGCAAGTTTCTCCTCACTTTCAGATTTTAACCAAAGTTATCGCTTAGCCCTCTTTCCCCCTCATTCCTGCCTCTATCCATTTAGCTGTGTAACTAATGATCAGAGTAATTCCTCATCATACTGACAAAAGACCTCCTGTGCCTACTATCTTTCCTGCAGACATAGTGCTTCAAATTGTTAACAGAGTATTTGCCCCTGTGGCTTTAAATCTATAAACTCATAGAACCTCATTAATGCTCTTCTCGAATTACAATGAAGCACACCTGGTGCAAGGTTTTGTCAAATTTACCTGTGAATGTTATTTATTTTAATGAAATAAGCTTTCCAAGAGAAATTGGGAAAGTTAGGTAAGCTTTAGAAACCTTGACAACAGGAAAAAATATTTCCAAATGAATAAATGAATCACTATTAGAGAACAGTGTTTGATGTTTAGATTTGCCTTTAATTTAAATCTTAGAAGCAGAAGATCAGCAAGATCTTTTGAGTGTGTTGTTTTATGAATCAATAAATGCAGTAACAGACCTGAAAAAACACAAAAATAACACATCTTAAAGAAATTCTCTTGCTGATGCTATATAGATTCCCACCATGATGAACTGCACCACTGGGACTGCATAAGAGCTCTGCCTGATGTGTATGTCAGGAATTCCCTCATATCATCCTCTCATTTCTTTCTTTTATTCTTCTTATTGCAGACATCCTTATTGCTACTCAACATGCAAAAGGGCTATGTGCTAAATTTCAACTTACTGGAATGTAATTTAAAAGGCTAATTTTACTTTTTTCCCATTTATAATCAAAATCCTATATTTACCCAAATTCAGTTTTCATAGTTTCTGTTTTTCTTCTTTCTCCACTTTAAAAAAAATCTATTCTGAACAAATTCAACAAAATCTTTTCCAAGGCAGGAATGCAGAGCCCATCATTTGCTGTTCATTTGTCTGCAATGTATATTATTAGGCCCTGACCCTACAGAACACAATTAAAAAAATGAGCACTTAACGGTGCAAGACCTATGGTGTCAGGGTGGGTGGAGGGTCAATTTTATTATGAAGTAACTTTTCACAACACTTACAGATTGAAGCAGGTAAATCAGCGAGCACTCCTGGATAACTATGACTGGAAAGGGAGTGATATTTGTTGCATGAAAAAGCGTTTCCACTGATGCCATTGTTTGGTCAAAGCGTCCTCCAAGTCCGCCCAAAGTCACAATCACATCAATCTAAAAGATAAAACAAAAACAGTCACTGATAAAACTCTCAAGAATGATCTTTAGACCCTGAAAATCCACAATAAAATCACTTTGGGAAAAAAAGAAAAAAATAACTACTGACTATAGAAAAGAGAATGTCAAATACAGTTATTTACTCCCATTACTGATAAATACCATTATGTGATTTTGAGGCTGAGTAAATTCATGGACAACATGTGGTACTTTTCAAAAGGATGTAACCGTTCTCCCTAAAACACAGGTCAGTCTTTGAAGGTACTTACCTGTCTGCCCTAAATATATGGAGCCTAAGATCTATCACTCCATATCTAAGCTCCTCAGGTAAGTGTGGTATATCTGAGCCATAGTATTCCCAGTTCTTCACATCATTTCAGTATTATCCTCACGGTTTATAGAGCAAATAAAGGAAATTTCAGGTTAGGGCCATTATATGTCATACTCATTCCTGCCACACAGCATTTCAATGTACAAGCAATATCCCTGAAAGGCTGGCTCTGCCCCAGATTAGAAGTACTGCTGAATAGGAAGTTCCACCCCAAGCAACTGGGACACCATCTCTGTCAGGGACAGAGACAGGCACAGGAGTGCTCTCCTGTCTCAATCCCATATACACAGAAAGCGCTATCTGACTGTTTGCAGTAGGCCATGGAGTTGGACTGCTCCTGCTCAGTTCTCTCACACAAATGTTCTAGATTTTGAACACTTTATTTCCTATAATCAGAAAGGGAGTATTTAAAAGCCCTGGTTAAGAACTTTTAGGTCCTCAGACAAAAGGTCATTGAGTGCAAAGTATTATTATTATTACTTCCATAATGTCGATCAGTTTTGTTCAGTAATTGTATTTTAAAAAGCTACCACTAAGTCATATCTAGGGCCCTAAAACATTGCAGCTCTAAAGTCTTAGGAAGCTGCCTTGACAATGGCCATCTGGTGAAGTTTTTAACTTTATAGAGCTTAAGTCTATGGCTGCTGTGATTACATGAAATTTTACTCAACCCAGGAGCCACATAATGGTGCTCTGTGAATCTGGAATGATGTATTAATAGCATCAGCTTCTATTTTTATTACCAGGTCTAGGGCTTTATGATTCTGTTGAATATTCTTTGCATGAAAATTGTCTTTTCCTTCCTTGAAGAAATATACCATTTTTCTCATCACGAGGAAAATACCTGAGAGGTCAGAATGGATCAATACAACACATTATATTAGCAGCAAACACTGAAACAAAAAAACTATCCTTGTACTGCTGACAGCATGTATTTTCTGTGCAGATTACAGATCACATAGACCTAACATACCACCAATAGAATATGAATTGTAGGAAAACCTATTCTTAAACAGAAGATAAAATAGCAAAAGGTAAAAAGCATGTGTTCCCAGCTAAGCCACAATACCATAATATATTTTCCCTTTTATTGATTCCACTGTAGAAGTAAACTGCTTTTGTTTGACTGGTGATGACTTTGAGTTAAAAGGGCGGATCAATTCTCTGAAGATAAAACTATTAATAAGACCCATCAACACCAGTTCCCTACCAAACAATCAGCCGCAAAATGCTCCCATCCTCCCCCAGTAGAAGCCATGAGGAAAATCTGCTACACTAACCTGGAACCACAGTGAAGTTAAGATGTCTGGCAAAGGATCAGGATCCACATGTATGTTGTTTTTCTTCTGAGCAATGGGACTGAAGCTTAAATATTAGCCTAGCCTCATCTTGAAGAAACTGAGCAACTCTGTATAGTTTCTTGGTGTATATGTCTCATCATACATGAACTGGTTTGTTTTGGCTTTGATGTTTTGTACAGTTTGAAAGGTAAGAATGAAGGAAACACAGACTCCCTTTGACTTGGAATTAAAATGATGCAGTAACATTCTGAATGTGTCTTCTTTCTCTTGTAAAACTGCCAGTATGTCAGAAAAATTCTGCTCTGTTATTCACACACATGTACTTGCCATGAAGTACAGGACACATCTCAAGCAATGAAGTGCTCAGTGACTGCAGCTTTCTGTGGTAGAGACTGCCAGAGCAATGCAAGCTGAAGAAAAACATAACAAAAAAAATACTTCCGTATTTTCTAGTATGACAGAAGTGATCCCAAAGTCCTACTCCTTATTCAACGGCAACAGTGCAGTCTTGTGGACTGGTTCCCAAAAAGTAAGAAAATAAAACCAATCTAGCATGGAGTAGATACATTGAAAAGGCATTCATAAACCAGAGGTTTGGGGTTGAGGTATGTTGGGAGAAGGCTAATAAAAATATCTGAAAAGGAAACATAGCTACTACTTAGGATACTTGCATGGATTGTGAAAATGAAAAACACAAGTATGTGACAAGTATGCAAGCAAACCCAGCTGGAATATGAGAGAAAAGCTAGAATTCTGCATTCCTGCGACAGTTGACAGTCCTGCCTTTCATTGGATAGTCTTGCAGAAGTGACAGGCATACAGACATTTTAGGACTTTCAGAGCCTTTATTTGAAGGTCTAAGTATATACACTTTGTTTATTTAACAAAAACAAAGAGAGGCTAAGTGCAACAAAAGTCTCAAGAGCTTTTCCATCCTAAAGCTAACATCTCTATTAAAAAAAACACACAACCCAAGAAATACAAACTAACAAAACAATCCCTTCCTTCCCTGCAATCACTGCTCCTCTCACTCTGTCAAGCACTTAAGAAAATGGATGTGCCACGAAAGCACATACACGACTCTTGGTCATTCTACAACCTAAGACAAAGTGAATACCAATGCACAAGACACATATATTCCCACACTACAGAGAAAAAGGCCATTCATTTTTCTACTATGATTTCCTGTATAACAGAGGCTACAGAATTAATACTATTACTGCTAATGAGCCCAGCAGGTAACATTCGACTAACACACTGTACTTCAACTGAAATGTCCATGCTTCACTTAAATGTCCCATCATCAGTCCCCTTACACAATTTGTTTTCACACAGTGCTATTCATTTCCTGAAAAAAGGATATAAAATCGTAAATAACTACAAAGAACAGCTTAGATCATTGCAGGCACATTCTCTTGGACTATCTATAACCTGACTTAGATGTAATGCACAGCATCTTTAAAGACTATGAAGCTTTAATTTAGAAAGAGTTGAAGATCTAAGGGTATGACCCAGTCATATTTAAATGATACAGCTATATGTTATTATCTCTTAAAAAAGTTTTAGAAGTCACTACCAAACAGCAGAGCAGTTAATAGGAGAAGGGAAGCATAAAGGAAGACTTTGTGCTTGCAATTCAGGGATGTATTTCTTCCTTCTTACCCAAGCTGTAATTTAGAGGGTACAGTAACCAAGGGGAGCTGAGGCTCCCACCACATTAGAATGAAGTTGCTCAGATTCCTGCTTCCACTGTCACAGAGACTATTGAAATGGATCACCTGCTGTAACCTTTGCAGGCTTGCTGAACACGGTCTGTTAAAACTGGTCCAGTTGACATTCCTGTTTCTGGTATGAATGGGTTAAATACAAAGAATATTTTCACTGTATGACTGAGGAACATGTATTTAAGGATACAGGAAGCTGGGAACTGCCTGGAGTGGGTGAAAAGTGTGCAATATCATTCATTGTAATGTCAGCATTGCCATGACATACAAGAGTGAAGTCCAAGGCTCAAACTGAGCACAGGATGCCCACTCTTTTCAAAACCATGCTCATTATCTCTGATAAGAAATACTCTCCCCAGGGAGAGGACGAACAACTCAGAGGACTTTTTTCCATATGAGCTCACTTTCAGCCAGACAACTTGCAAACAAACATGCTTAGGGTTTAGAGAAGTGGGTAGGTGAAGGGAAACACATTTACTGAAACAGCACTGAAAGAACTGCAAAAAGACCTCCCCTAAAGGAAAAAGGGAAGATGCTGTAAAAGCTCTGAAGTCATGATTAAACTCCCACCCTCTGAGACCATGGAGACTATCCACTGCTAATATCCAAGACATTACTATGCCAATTATAGGTCAGATGTCAGATAGCTTCCTTTTATCACCTCACTTCACTGAAATCTTTACATCTTCCACAGCCTTTCTTTATTTTCTGTCATTCATAAGCCTACTCCTTTAATTTTGGAAGTAATATGACATAGACAATAAAATTATTGTAGTAACATGCATGTACATTGGAAGCCTATTTTATGCTGAAATACCTATATATTGAAGTATATCGTATGTTGAAAAACAATCAAGTAGTAATGTGAATACTAAATTTAATATTGCTTTGTTGCTTCATCACTTCAATTTTGACCAGTTTACCAGAAAAGCATTTTTTTCTTTAAGGCAATTTGTCAAATTAGGATGTGGTTTAAAACTCCAGATATATCTTTTCTAGTCTTTGTATCAATCATGAAGACTTTAAAACACAGCAAGCACTTCCCTTGATAACAAATGAGCCAAAGTAGATTTTAGCTCATTTGTCCATAGCTGTATCAGAGCTCTTGTGCTGGCCAGATCACAGTCATTTTTTTATATCATCCTCAGAACTGCAGTGTAAATATAACAAACTATTAAAATCCTATTACCCAATGTTGAATATATAGCAAGTTATTATACATTTTAGTTGATTCTACTAGCTCTCTAGCTCAGTGTCTTACATGAAGGTATGGCATTCATTTCCTATAGGAATGATACGCTGAACCACACAGCAGCATCTGAACTTTGCTCAGGTAGAATCCTCTTTACTCTAGCCAGAATTTCCTTGTTATTTCAGACATCTGACACTTCATGGGAACAAGAGTTCTCAGCCAAAGGCTGCCATCCTGTCTGTGTACCTTCAATCAACTTCATCCTCACCTCACTGACTCCACTTATCTTTATATTATATTGTTCCAGCTCTTTCACAAAGCATTTCTTGCTTCTTACCTTCATTTTCTTACATTCTTATCCAAGTACTTTCTCTATTTATAACCCTTTTTATTTCAAATAAGAGGTTAATTCTTTCTGCTAATGACAGTAAGTATGCAAACAGATTGCA